GAAGCTACAGTCACCTTGGTACCTAAACCTCAGAAAGACCCAACAAAGAAAGAGAATTTCAGGCCAATCTCCCTTATGAACATTGATGCAAAAATACTGAATAAAATACCTGCAAACCAAACACAAGAACACATCAAAGATATCATCCACTATGACCTAGTAGGCTTCATCCAAGGTATGCATGGGGTGGTTCAATGTATGAAAATCCATCAATGTGATCCACTATATTAACAAACTGAAAGAAAAAAAAAACACGTGGTAATCTCCTTAGATGCTGAAAAAGCATTTGACAAAATCCAGCATCCATGCATGTTTAAAGTATTGGAGAGATCATGCATACAAGGCACATAGCTAAACATAATAAAGACAATATACAGCAAGCCTATAGCCAACATCAAACTAAAGAGAGAGAAAGTTAAAGTAATCCCACTGAAATCAGGGAGAAGGCAAGGCTGCTCACTCTCTCCATATCTCTTCAACATAGTTCTGAAAGTCCTTGCTAGAGAAATAAGACAGTTAAAGGAGATCAAGGGGATAGAAATCAGAAAGGAAGAAGTCAAAGTATCAGTATTTGCAGGAGACATGATAGTATGCCTGAGTGACCCCCAAAATTCTACCAGGGAACTTCTACAGCTGATAAATACCTTAAGGAGAGTGGCCGGATACAAAATTAACTAAAAAAATCAGTAGCCCTCCTGTATAAAAAAGTCAAAAGGGCTGAGAAAGAAATTAGGGAAACAACACCCTTCACAATAGCCACAAAGGACATAAAGTACCTTGGTGTGACTCTAACCAAGCAAGTAAAGACCTGTTTCAAAGACCTGTTCTTCAACTCTCTGAAAAACTAATTAGAAGAAGATATCAGAATATGAGAAGATCTCCCATGCTCATGGATTGGTAGGGTTAACATAGTGAAAATGGATATTCTGCCAAAAACAATCTACAGATTAAATGCAATCCTCATCAAAATACCCACACAATTCTTTTACAGACCTTGAAAGAAAAATTCTCAACTTCATATGGAATAACAAGAAACCCAGAATTGCTAACACAATCCTCTACAATAAAAGATCTTCTAGAGGTATCTCCATCCCTGATCTCAAACTGTACTGCAGAGCAACAGTAATAAAAACTGAATGGTCTTGGCATAGAAACAGAATGGTGGATCAATGGAATCGAATAGAGGACTGAGAAATAAACCCACACACTTATGGACACCTGATGTTTGACAAAGATGCTAAAACCATACAATGGAAAAAAGATAGCATCTTCCACAAATGGTGCTGTTCTAACTGGATGTCTACAGGTAGAAAAATGCAAATAGATCCATCCTTATCACCCTGCACAAAACTAAAGTCCAAGTGGATCAAAGACCTTGACATAAAACAGGCACATTAAATTGGTTAGAAGAAAAAGTGGTGAAGAGCCTTGAACTCATTGGCACAGGAGACAACTTCCTGAACAGACACCAACAGCACAGGCTCTAAGAGCAACAATCAATAAATAGGACCTCATGAAACTGAGAAGCTTCTGTAAAGCAAAGGAAACGGTCATCAAAACAAAATAAAAGGCCTATAGATTGGGAAATCTTTACCAACCCTCTTTCTGACAGAGGACTCATATCCACTATATTTAAAGAACTAAAGAAGCTGAAGAGCAACAAATCAAGTAATCTAATTAAAAAGGGGGGAAGTGCTAAACAGAATTCTCAATAGAGGAATGTGGAATGGCAGAGAAACAGTTAAATAAATGCTCAACATCATTAGCATCAGGGGGATGCAATTTAAAACCACCCTGAGATTTTACCTTTTAGCCATCAGAATAGCCAAAATGAAAAACTCAAGTGACAGAACATGCTGGAGAGGTTGTGGAGAAATGGGAACCCTATTTCACTGCTGGTGGGAATGTAAACTTGTACAACCACTCTAGAAATCTCACATTTTCTCAGAAAACAAGAAATAGTGCTTCCTCAAGATCCAGCTAGACCACTCCTAGGCATAGATCCAAAAGAGGCTCAAGTACACAATAAGGACATTTGCTCAACCTTGTTTGTAGCAGCTTTATTTGTAATAGCCAGAAGGTGGAAACAATCCAGATACTCCTCAACTGAAGAATGGATACAGATATTGTGGTAAATCTACATAATGGAATATTACTCAGCAATGAAAAACAAGGAAATCATGAAAATTGCAGGTAAATGGTGGGAACTGGAACCTATCATTCTGAGTGAGCTGTCCCAAAAGTAGAAAGACACATGATATATACTCACTCATATAGACATATAATATAGGATAAACCTACTAAAATCTGTTGTATTTTAGGAGGGGATGCTTTGAGGTTTAATATGCTAATGGAAGTGACCAGAAAGAATGGAGTCTCTATCTCTCTGTCTCTGTCTTTGTTTCTGTCTGTCTGTCTGTCTCTCTTTCATTCTCGGTCTCTCTCTCTCTCTCTGTGTCTCTCACTCTGCCTGACTCTTGTGGTTCAGTATGAAAAGCTATCAGCTCTACTAAAGCAAGACAACAAGAGGACTGCTTGATGACATGACATCATGGATGGTCTTTGTAAAACTACAAGTAAGGTCCGGATTAAACGTTTTTGTTCAAAGAGTTGCCTTGGTCATGGGGCATTTTTGCAGTAGGTAATTCACTGACTACAGACATATCTGTGCATTTAACAAATACTAATGAAATCTATGATAATGTGAAAGTCACATGCCAATGACACATGACTTTATTAATGAAATATGTGACACTTTCCATGAATTAAAAATCTTGGAAACATGAGCTGTCTCTCTGGGTTGTGTGCTTTCAGCTGCCCAGATTGAGGCATGTAGGGCTGCTCAGCCTTTCTCTCAAGCAGGGTGTCCTCTTATCCCTTTTAATGCATGGCTCCTGAGCTATTACTGGCTTTCACCAGTTTCGTGACATCATTGTCTCTCTCAGCCAATCAGCACCTGATAGAATCTTGAGGTTTCCATGGAGATGAGTAAACAAGCTTTCCTCAGTGTCCAGTAATCTCTGATCCTGTGCACACACGACTTTTTCTTGTGAAGCCCAACAAGCCTTTATCTCATCCCTTTTTTCCAGATCCTATACCCTTTACTCCTATTTACCTCCATGACAATGTCAGGTAGGAAATGACACCTTAATGTTTATTTAATTGGACAGCTTCCTAAGGTGGAAAACTTCAAAATGATGTGGGATTAGGGGAATGTACTGAATGATAAGATGGTCTCCTACTCTGGTATTAGATCTGAAATCCCCTAGGATTGTGACTTTCGACTGAACAGTTATTCATGTACTCTCTAAAAGTACCTTCAGATTCTTTTTGATATGATTGG